GTAAAAATGTGGCTTCAAACTGGATAAAAAATCAACTTATGACAGCTTCTGGAAGACAACCACAATGCTGATGCCTGCACAAAGGGGATATGATGCCATTGACAGGCGACTGGTGAAACACATCATTACCTGAATAAAATGACAGAACATTAGGTTTGAACATTGGTGCAAACATAGGCCTAGTGTTTATAAACATCTTAATTCGGAAATGTTGCATATTATAGCTTTTAAGCCAGATTTTTATATTGCCATGTCCCAAAATGAACATTAACTGCCAACCAGCCAGCTGTCTTTAGATGCATTCCCAATAACAATAAATTTAGGTTTTTTTTTTAGGTAAAATTAAAACTGAAAGAAATGAGCCCTTCATGTTTGATGTTTTACCTAGTTTGACCTGTGCATAACAGATAGCGGTGTTCTCAGAGTTAGAGATTTCACAGGAATATCTGCCTGCTGCTTCTAGCCGGTCACTGTTGAGCACCTCCAAGACACAGGAATTATCTGTGGTCTCGACGTTGTACTTGTAGGAGGCCCAGATTGGTTTACCATCCTTTCTCCAGCTCACATTGACCCTGGGGCTTGCACTGTAAGCACAGTACAGCGACAGGGGCTGGCCGAGTCTAAAGGTGGTGTCTTCCAGCTCTTTTATGAAGCGCACAGGTTCTACAGGAAGCAATGGTGATGTTAGTTGCATGTTATGTCATTTATGTTACAGCAAGCAAATGCATGTTTATGTGAAAGGATTGATCTGATTTTTGAAATTTCAAAATAGATGATGGTCATATGTTAGTGGCTTTACCTATCTTAACCATAGCATGGCAGATATCAGTGCCCTCTGAATTGGAAATCTCGCATGAGTATTTCCCGATGGCTGCCCGACTATCACTGTTGAGAACTTCCAAGGTGCTGGAGAAGTTGGTGGTTTTAACATTGTACTTGTATGATGCCCAGATGGGTTTTCCATCTTTTATCCAGCTGACGTAAATCCTCTGGCTGCCAGTGAATGTGCACTCCAGCATCAAAGGGTGGCCAATTTTATAGAAGGTGTTTCTCAGTTTTCTCACAAAGCGAACTGGTTCTAAGAAATCAATTAGCAATGGCATTGTTAGATATTATAAGCAATGGTTCATCTTTTAAACAAGCTAGTTACATTATATTTTATGGAGGTACAAATGATTCTTAATCCCTGTAAAGAAGTGAGTTGCTAAGGTGGGTTACCTAGTTTCACATTAGCATGGCAGATATCGCTTCCTCCAGAGTTAGAGATTTCACATGTGTATCTTCCAACGGCCTCTTCTCTGTCACTGTTAAGGATTTCCAAAATGCAGGTGTCGTTGGTGGTCTTGACATTGTACTTATATGATGCCCAGATGAGTTTTCCGTCCTTCTTCCAGGTCACGGACAGTCTCTGGCTTCCAGTGTACGTGCACTTGATGGCCAAAGGTTCGTGGAGTCTGAAATAAGTGTCTTCCAGCTTTTTCACGAAGCGAGCAGGCTCTGAGAGGAGTAATGGTTGGGTTAGTTGCATGTAGGTTTAATTATGTTATGTTAGAAGGGGCAGGTTATGGAGATTTTGCAATAGTCTCAACTGACATTTTTAGTCCTAGATGACTACAACTACCAATTGTGCCTACTAGACAACAGCACACTTGGCTGATGAATTTAAAGCAGATGGTGTGTTAGGGGTTTTACCTAGGCTGACACAAGCGTGGCAAACATCAGTTCCAGCTCCGTTGGAAATTTCGCAAGTGTACGTTCCAGCTGCCTCAGGCCTGTCGCTGTTGAGGACTTCCAGAGAGCAGATCGAATCCGTAGTTTTAACATTATACTGATAAGATGCCCAAATCAGCTTTCCATCCTTTTTCCATGTGACATGGACCCTCTGGCTTCCGGTGTATGCGCAGACTAATTTCAGTGGCTGACCCACTGTGAAAGTAGTATCTTCCAGCTTCTTGATAAAGCGCACAGGTTCTGAGAGAAGCAATGCTGGTGTTAGAAATGTGCCCATTGTTATATTTCCATGCATTTCAATGCCTCTATGTCAAAGTTAATTCTATCATGGCTAAAATGTAACTTGTAAACTAAACTATTAAGCTACATTAGTATTGTTTTCCAAGAGTTGCATATTTCACCAGAGGTAATCTTTAGGACAATTTTGGTACAATCAAAAGAAACTGAATTCTAATGAGAGGATCCAGTAGCAGAAATAACTGGCTGATCGTTTCTCTCTCAAAGAAAAAGGAAGTACGGAAAACAAGCATCACCTTTCACCACCACATTACAGCTGGCAGAGGCTGAACCGACACGATTCTCTGCCTTGCAGATGTATTGGCTGTGATCGAACTTGGTCGTTTTGATCAGTTTCAAAGTGGCGACACCGTTTGCAAAGTCCATTGAGCAAGTGTTGGACTTGCGCAGCTTTCCATCAGCTTTAAACCAAGCTACGGAGATGTCAGGAGTTCCTGCAATACGGCATTTCAGGGTAACCGGATCGCCCACAGTTACCTCCACTGGCTCCATCTTTTCAACAAAGTATGGTCGCTCTAAAGTGAAAGATGATGATGATGATGATTTAGTTGTGTGTTGTGGAGAAATAAATGAAAGAATGAATAAATTAAATGTTAAATGACTGAATAAATGATTGAATGATCATGAATTATTACAACTGAAACTAAGCACAATAACATGCACTTATAAATTTACCTAGAATTGACACTTGTGCTTCGCATCTGTCACTTCCGACTCCGTTGTCTACTTCGCAAGAGTATCTACCAGCTGCCTCCACCCTGTCAGAGTTAAGAACATCCAGGATGCAGGAGGTGTCTGTGGTGATCACATTGTACTGGTATGAAGCCCAGATGAGTTTACCATCCTTCTTCCAGGTCACATTTACCCTGGGGGTTCCAGCAAATGTGACCTCAAGTCTCAGAGGCTTGCCCTTCTCAGAGGACATGTCTCTCAGCTTCTTCACAAAGTGGACTGGTTCTGAGAGAGTTAATTCCATGATCAGTTACAGAAAATTCACTTTTAGAAGTGCAGAAATGGTTAAAAAAATCTATCATGCTAACAAACCTTTCACAAACAGGTTAACTGGGTAGCTTTCCTTCCCTGCATCATTAATGATCTGGCAGGTGTACTCTCCTGCGTGGGACTTTTCGACTTTGTGAAGCACGAAAGTGGCAACGTCGTTCTTTAGAGCGATCTCGCAGCCTCTTCCATGCTGCATTTCCTTGGCTCCCCTGAACCATTTGACTTTCAGGGGGGCACTGCCTTTAACTTTGGCTGAGAAAGTCACATTTTTGCCGGGCAGTGTTTCCTTCGCTTCGGGTGTTTCCACAAAAGTGGGAGGTTCTGGGTTCAAATAAAAAAGATGTGTTGTAAGATAATTATTAACTTTCTGTAATGAGCCTGACTCCGTGATCAGGAAAACATCCTTGAAATTTTCTGTTTCTCGATTTTTTTTTTTCCACGTCTACTGACCTGTTACATTCATTGACGCACTCGTCTCACTGGCTCCTGCAGCATTCACGGCTTTACATGTGTATTTGCCGGTATCTGACATCTTGATTGTTGGGACTCTCAGTTTGCAGTTATTATCAGTGCAGCTAATGTCATAGTTAGGCCCACTCTTGATCTCCTGGCCGTTGTGGAACCAGGAAGTTGTTAAAGGAGCAGAGCCAGTGACCTTACACTCCATTTCACCAGGCTTACCCACAACAAGGTGGGTGTCTCTCAGCTTCCTTATGAAACTCGGTGGAATCAACTTATCTATTGTCAAAAAAACAACAAGTTTTAAAGCATTTCTGAGCTACTTGCTAATTGAAAGGATCAACATTTTATAAGGAAGGGCATGTATATAATGGCCACCAACCTGAGACAGAGAGCTTAGTTTTGCAAGAGGCTGTACCAACATGGTTTGTAATTTCTAGCTTGTATTCTCCGGCATCTGCTTTATCAGCAGACTGAATCTTCAAGGCGGCAACCTTCTTTGTGAAGGACATCTGATACTTGGCACCAGCAGAGAGCTCCTTGTTATTCTTGAACCACTTAATTTTCAGGTCTGGTGAGCCAGAAACTGTGACTTCAAGAGCTGCATTTTCTCCTGACTTCACGTTCAAGGACTCTGGGCTATCCACAATAGCAGCGGGTTCTAGAAATTAGGGAAGAAGATGTTAAGCTAAAAGGATCCTTACACTGTCAATGGTGTTAATAAAATTAAGTCTGGAGTCCTACAAACCTAGAACGGTAACTTGGGAGACAGACTCTACAAGTCCAGAGTCATTCCTTAGCTGGCAGGTGTATTTACCAGCTGTGGTTGAGTCAGCCTTGGGCACTACAAGGGTGACCACATTATTCTCAAAGGTGATTTTCCTGTTGTCACCGTCTCTGAGAATGTGATCTTTGTCCTGAACCCAGGACACAGTCAATGGTTCAGAGCCTTTAACCGTAGCTGTCAGTGTCAGCTGCTGGCCGAATTTCACTGATTGGTCGACCAATTTCTTGACAAACGCTGGTTGTTCTGAATAGTGATGGAAAAATCAAAGGTGAGAAGAAGTATTCGCACTTAGACAAAGTGTTGAGGAAATGGCAAGTGGTTCTGTACAAACCTTTAAGGCAAATGGTAGTGCGGCAGGATTCACTTCCTACATTGTTTGACACTCTGCACTCGTAAATTCCAGCATCATCTTGCTCCAGTTTAACAATGTGAAGCGTGGCAGAGTTGCCCTCATTGACCATCTTATATTTCCTGCTCTCCTTCAGTGGCCTTCTGTCTTTGTACCAGTTAACCTGGAAAGGTGGAGTGCCATACACCTCACAGTGCAGGCTGGCATCTTTCCCTTTAATGCCCTCTACTGGGTTTGGAGTTTTAGTAAAGGATGGGGACTCTGGAAAATATATCAGCATATATTAACAGATGTAATGATCCTGGACAAGCAAGTTTTCACTGCAAGCAATTGGGTTCCATTGGACAGAAATTCTTCAAGTTCATGCTTAAGTTCAGTCCATGCTAGAGGAATCCATCCAGGCGTTGACAGAAAAAACAAGAACACAAACATAGCTTATGTTCATGCTATGATTGGAGGCTAAATCATATCATATTGAAATTAAAATGTAAAAGGTAAGTCAAAGGTATACCTAGGTAATTCCAGCAAATGTAGGAGACAATATGTCTCTAAAAAAAGAGGTAACACTCATGCTATGCGACACACTGGAGGAGGACCTGTTTTAACTGAAACAGGATTTGGGGTTGTTGGATTCCATGCTTAAGTTTTTAGACCGGTTTGGAAAAGAACCCATAAATGGCCAAACGAATTATCCAAATCTGAATCACAAGGGACTTTCATTACTTCAGTTCCATGCTACACAAGTTCAGAGGAGACAAAATCCACAAAACAACAATGTGTAGCCAAGATTGAATTCAATAGCTGACCTTGAATTGTGAGAACGGTGCTGCAGCTTGCACTGCCAGCATCATTATGAGCCTCACAGGTGTAGACTCCATTATCCTCAAACCTTGTGGTGCGCAGTTGGAGGTACGCAGTCGAGTCAACAAACATTATTTTATAGTTGTTTCCATCGGTAATCTTTTGGTCATTTTTGTACCAGCACATATTCAGGGAGCGTGAGCTGGTGAACTTGCACTCAAAACGGTATCCCTCGCACAGCTTCACATAGGTAGTGGGAGGAAGTTTCAGGACAAACTGAGGAGATTCTGCAAAGTCAAAAAATGATCAAGTTACTATCGTCAGCATAAAGTAACACTTGTGGGATGAATGGACGATGCGGACAGGTGACTGGATATTATAACAGATGGTAGGTGACTCTGAGGACAACATAGATATTCCTGGTGAGAAGAGAAATGGTAAGGAGATCAGGCAAAGAAAATGAAGAAAGAGGAGCTGTGAAAATGGAGAAAAAAAGATGGGAGTTAATTGATTGGTGATGGTGGTGGTGGACAAAAAAAAGAATAGTCCAACCTTTCACCAACAACTCTGCTGCACTTTTCACTGCGCCTGCTTCGTTGCTAACTTGGCAAGAATAAATCCCAAATTGCAGAGTCCCGACAGAGTAGAGTTCTACAGAGGAAGAATATTTCTCCAGTCTAATCATGCATGATGGCCCTGTGATGAGTTCGATGTCATCTTTAAACCATTTCACCACAAATGGAGGTGTTCCTTCAAAGATACTTCTGAAGAGTACTGTAGACTTTGGAATAACAGCCTGAGACTCAGGCTCAGTTAGGAATCTTGGTGGCACTAAAACCCACACAGAAAAATGATTATGATACATGACTAACAGCCTTTGAGACCAAAATTGTTCAAAATCAAATTGCCTTTTGAATGCTTAAATGCTAACCTTTAGCTGTAAGAACTCCACTGCACACACTGCTGCCTGCAGTGTTGGTAACCGTACAGGAATAATCTCCTGTATCAGCACTCTCAGTCAGTTTGAACTCCAGTGAGACAGTATTGTCAATGTGCAGAAGTTTATATTTGGAGCTCTTGGTGATCTTTTGTTTCCTTTTGCACCATTCAACTGACATTGGAAGAGAACCAGCCACTTTGCATTCCATAGTAACCAATGAACCCATAATTGCTTGAATGTTTGTTAATTTCTGAATGAACGTTGGAGGAATCTCTTCTTCTGTTTAAAATAATATTAAATGTCAAGTAGAGTTAAAGAAAAATGTAATTCTACAATTGAAAATATTGTTCTAAGAAGAGTTGAAAAATATTTTACAAACCTAAAACAACCAGTATGACTTTACAGCTGCAAGACCCAACAGAGTTTGTGGCTTCAAACCGGTACTCTCCACTGTCTTCCAGCTGAGAGGACAGTATGTTAAGACTGCTGAGGTTGTTCTCATAGTAGAGATTGTGTTTTCTGTTTGACTGGAGGTCTTTGCCGTCTTTGGTCCATTTAACACTGATCTGAGGAGTTCCAGCTACCCTGCACTCAAGACTAACTGGATCTCCACAAGTCACTTTTACTACCTTTGGCTTCTCTTGGATCATAGGTGGTTCTACAACACCAAGAAAAAAGGGTGAGTACACTTGTTATTGCCGTTAGAGCGAGCTATAATGTTAGGCATAAGAATCAGGCATGAACCAGAAGTACCTTGCACTAAGAGGGTGGCAAAGCATTTGTCCTGCCCAGCCTCGTTTACGACATAGCAGGTGTATATCCCGCTGTGAGTAGCCTCACATGCAGAAATTCTGAGAGAGGCCTCTTTGTTATCAAATGTTCTCTTGATCTTTGGATCCTCTGGGATCCAGTTCTCGTCTTTTTTCCATTGTACAGAGAGAGGCAGAGAACCATCAACGGTGCTGTGAAAGATCGCAACGTTTCCCAGAATTGTGGTAACGTTTTCTATCTTCTTAACAAATGTTGGAGGGACTAATACAAAGAAAAGATGTCATTGTAATACCAGAAAGTATACAGTGTTATATGCCTAATGTATGTCAGTGTGGTTTACAGTAAAACCAACCTTTCAGAGACAAAGCTGCAAATCCAGTGCAACTTCCAACCTCATTGGCTACAACACACTGATAAGTACCCACATCTTCCACTTTACAGTCCAGGATTTTCAAGCTCACATTTTTGGTATCAACAATAATATACTTTTGGCTGGATTTGATTGACTTTTTATCTTTAATCCATGCAACCTTAAACGGAGCACTTCCTGCCACTCTGCAAGCAAAAACTGCAGTGGAACCTTTAGCAACTTCAAGAGATGTCAGCTCTTCATCAAATGAAGGAGGCTCTGAAATAACAAAGCAAATCAAACTGAAGCAACCTTTGATTTGTATTTCTGATGTAATATTAATATATAATATTTTCTTTGATCTTGAATTTAACTTTAACACTGACAAGATGTAAACGTGAAAAAAACACCAACCTTTCACTTCTAGCTCAACTGTGCAGCTCTCTGTGCCTGCTTCGTTGTAAGCTTCGCAGAAATAACTCCCGCTGTCACTTTCACTAACTTGACAAATCTCTAAAGCAGCTATAGAGTTGAGAAACGACATCTTGTGTTTGACACTTTGCTGAATTTCATCTACATCTTTGAACCAACGCACAGAGATTTCTGGAGTCCCATCAACCTTGCACTCAAACACCTTACTGTCTCCTACTCTTACTACTGATATGCCTTCTGGTTTTTCAATGAAAAAGGGGGGTTCTGGAAAAAATACATAGAAAAGTTACTTAAGTATGGAAAGTCACTGCAAAGTAAAGAAAACTGATAAAGGTGTGAGACAAATATTGACCTTTCACAAAGAGTGTTGCCTGGCATGAACAGGAACCCACATCATTCTGTATTTCACAGACATAGTCACCAGAATCAGAAGATTTGGCAAAGAAAAGCTCCATTGAGCTTGAGGTGTTGTCTTTAATGACAGAGCAGTCGACGCTGGAAAAAATTTCTTTCTTGCTTGCAAACCATTTGATGGTCAGTGGCGGTGTGCCAGAGACATGAACATTAAACTTAACCTTTGACCCGGGCAAAACATTCATGGATTTAGGCTTTTCAAGAAAGCATGGTGGTTCTGTTGGTGGACAAAACCCAACACTTCTATTACAACAGTCTCAACATATACAATGCAGTTATGCCTTAAAATACAAGATGGTACTGAGGATGTGAGATGGCTTCTAACCTTTAACAAACAAAGTCCCAGAGCACTTGACAAATCCGGCCTTATTTTTAGCCATGCAGGTATAGCTGCTGCTGTCTTTACTATCAAGACAACTGATTTCCAGGAAAGCAACATTTTCGAAAAATGTGCATTTGTGTTTCTCATCAGTGTGGATTTCTTGGCCATCTTTGTACCACTGTATCGCCATCGGCAGGGAGCCAGATACGTGGCACTGCAGATGAGCAAATGATCCTCTGATACCTTCGGTGTCCTTCAGTTCTCTCGTGAAAGATGGTTTAATAATCTGATCTATTACATACAAAGTGCAGAAATAATGTTGAGTTGGTTGTATGAATAAAATAGACAATAAAATAATGATATTAAAACTGTGGGATGAACTGACCTAACACAGTAACAGCTGCCTCACAAGAACTGCACCCAGCATTGTTTGAAACCTCAAAGGTATATTCACCGCTATCGCTTTTCTCTGTTTTAATTATTGTGAGAACAGAGCTGGTGTCTGTTCTCTGTACTTTGTATCTCTGGCCTGTGGTCAACTCCTTTCCCGCCTTCATCCATCTGGACCTGAGCAGTTTGGTGCCTGAGAATCTGCATTCAAGCCTGGCCGGGTCACCCTGGGTTACACTGATGGACTGTGCACGTTCTAAAATACTTGCTGGCTCTGAGATAACAAAATGACCCAAAAACTGAATTAGCTGCTACCCCTTGCAGGTGTTAATGCGACAGATGAAACATCAAGCTTGACACAAAAGCAACAGCAGTTGAGACACAAACATACTACAAACCTGTCACAATGAGTACAGCGGCACATCTCTGAGTCCCAGCTTTGTTCTGTGCCTGACAGACATATTTCCCACCGTGTGATAACTGAGCATTTTTCAAATTCAACACGGCACTTTTGATTTCATAGGACATCTTAACATGTTCGTCTTCTGTGAGCTCATGATCGTCCTTGATCCAGGAGAAAGTCATGGGAAGTGATCCAGACAACATGCACTTCATAGAGATCTCAGAGCCCACCATGCAGGACATATCCTCTAGTCTCTGAACAAATGACGGTGATTCTAGTGGGAGAAGACCATAAGTCAGACCGCAGGCGGGTTTGCACAAACACAGATGATCCATATTGCAAATTTTCTCCCTGATCTAACCCTCTCAACCTTATCTCCATCCAAACAACAATAAAATACAACTCTTCAGGAAATAGGAATCATTATGGTGTCCTGATTACATTTTTGTTATCACACAAGAATCTGCACATTATTTACTGCCAGAATTTTCCCCAAATGTAAAAAATTTAAACGTAATTGCTTAAGTTGCATAAAAGCGTAATTCAAAGTCAGTTGGGAAGCATGCAGAAAGATAACCTCAGTTGACATTATCTGACACTGTCCTTTGACTAACCTTTCAGTGAAATCTGGCAAGAACAAGAAGTCTCTCCAACATCATTTGCAACGGTGCACTGGTATGTCCCAGCGTCTCCGCTCTCACAGTTTAAGATCTGAAGAGTGATGGTGTTGTTTTCAACACTGATCTTATGCCCTTGGTCTTGTCTGATCAGCTTATCATTGAGCAAGCAACTTATTTCAAATGGAGCGGAACCTGAGACGGTTCCCTCCAAGATAATGTCGGATCCATTTACAAGCTCAGCTGATTGGAAAGGCCTCACAAACACAGGAGGCTCTATAAAAAAAGATAATGAATGTTATATTTAAAGGCAATAAAGGGCTGGAAACTAAGTTTAGTGTAATGAGGCCAGTCTGGTCCACAGAATTCATTTAAATGTTCAGAACCTCCACATTGCAAACTCTCATTGATGATCTGAAAAGTCAGTTTACTTATGAAGGTACATTGATTCTTGGTGATATGTTGAGAAGAACAATGAATTTTGGGACTGAAATTTGTGGTTAGCTTCCAAACTACTAAACTAAACTGAAAGAAGTCTGCTTGTTAAACATCCTTGGGACTTGAAAAACAGGATAAGTATCATGGATATATCACTATTGCATGACAGGGTCATTCAGAGACCTTCAGGACGTTTCCTTTCTTGTCTGTTTAGAACTCCGATCGCAACAAAAGTTGAATCAAACAATTAGCTTGATTGACATGGAGGTCTGCAAGGACCCTTCTGTTCTTTCACCAAATTATCTCTGGTTCTTGAACTGGTTTAATACAATGTATAAGTGCATTTATGGAAATGGTTGTGGTTAATTACTGATCAACTTTCCATATTAGCATAGTGCAAACTCTGAACATGTAAAAGAACAATGTAGACCAGACATGTCAACAATCTAACGAAATATGGGTAAACTCTATGAAGAGAACTACTTAAGGCTGAACCAACCTTTAACTGTGACTGAGCTGCTGCACTGGTCTTGGCCGGCCTGGCTGGACCCCATACAGACATAATCTCCACTGTCCTCTACAGAACAGTTCTCTACCTCCAGAGTTGCTATGGAGCTGTCAAAGGACATTGTGTGTCTGTGGTCTGAAGCAATTTTGGAGCCATTTTTAAACCATGTGATGTTAATAACAGGAGTGCCCTGTACTTTGCAAGACAACTTCAGAGGTTGGCCAGTTTTCAGCAGCACTGAAGGCTCAAGCTTCATTGTAAATGTTGGAGCTTCTGTAAATTCACAGTAATGATAACATCAAAAACAAGAGGTTAAGTAAAGAAAACAACAGTTCAGCGAATCACTTTTTTAAAAGAAAGAGTGAAACAGCACCTTTTACAAAGAGGACTGCAGTGCAATCCACCTTCCCAGCCTCATTGGACACTTGGCATGTGTATTTAGCAGAGTCACTGGATTTCACAGAGTGAAGCTCCAAAGAGCTCGAAGAGGCATCTTTCTTTATGAAACACTTTCCACCAGTGAAAATCTCTTTCTCCTCTCTGAACCATTTAACAACCAGTGGAGCTGAGCCTGTAAAGGCTGATTTTATGACAACATTTGATCCTGGTGAAGCATCCTGGGATTCAGGTTTCAATGTGAAGACTGGAGGTTCTGGAGTTATTTGGGAAGAAAAAGAGCAAACATTCAAAGCCTATCAATACCTTCTAAATATTTGTAATTATAATGTCTGCCTGATTAATCTCGGCTTTAAGGTGAAGTTATTCAACTCCTCTGACCTTTGACGGACAAAGTACCACTGGTCTCTTTTTCTCCAGAGTCATTAGCAGCCCGGCATGTATAAATTCCACCGTCACTTTGCTCCAGGCCAGTTATCGTCACAGAGACTGTACTCTCACTGAAATCAAGCTTATATTTGTCATCACTGTGGATTTCTTTATTGTCTTTGTACCAAGAAAAAACCAGCGGCTGAGATCCAGAAACTCTGCATTCCAAGGTAACATTACTACCAATACTCGCATCCACTTTCTTTAGAGTTTTGGTGAAGGATGGTGGAACTGCACGATCTGCATAAGGAAATACATCAGACATGTAACCATCATCAAGGGCTAAATCTTTCAGCTGTTATTAACGATGTATTCTTGGCTATAACTAACCTATAACGGTGACTGAACAGGTGCACTGGTCTTTTCCAACTTTATTGGACACCTCCATCTTGTACTCTGACGTGTCGCCTTTATCTGCTGTGAGAATCTTTAAGACAGCTGTGTTTTCCTTCACCGTCATTTTATATTTACGGCCACTGATCATCTCTTTGCCGTCTTTGAACCATTTCACTTTGAGGTCTGGGGTTCCAGAAATCGTGCACTCCAATGTGGCCGAATCCCCGGCAGTCACACTGATGGACGCCGCTTTCTCTAAGATCCTAGCAGGTTCTACAATACAACATTTTAGAGTTTCAGAATTTATAAACATCTACATCTGAACTTATATCTCTTATATAAACAATGTCTCTAATGAACAGGAACGTGTTCTAACCTTGAACTGTTAAGACAGCTTCACATTTCTGCTGTCCTGCCTCGTTTTCAGCCAGACAAGTATACTTGCCGCCATGCTTTATCTCAACAGAAGAGAAGGAAATGCTAGCAATGTTGTTCTCAAATGCCATTTTGACATTTGCATCGTCATCTCTTAGCATATTAGAGTCTTTCATCCATTTTATAGTGATGGGAGCTGAGCCTTTCAGGGTTCCCTGTAGCTTCACTGTATTTCCCAACACTGCTGTAGCACTCTCAATCCTCTTTGAGAACATAGGTGGCTCTGAAATAACAGTATTAATAATAATTATATAAACAACCACCAGTAGAACTACAAAAATTTTAATTAAAGTTATAATTTAATAAGTATACTAGTATACGTATGTCCTGTAATCTCTTTGCATCACTAACCTCTCTGTTTAGCCACTGACTTTGAGGTTACTGACCCAACCTCATTTGATACGACACATTCGTATTCACCAGCGTCAGCACTCTCAAATGAGTGGATCTCCAGAGAGGCCAGGGACCCCTGTGACACTATTCTGTATTTCTTATCTGCGGACAGGCGTTTCTTATTCTTTTTCCAGGCCACCTCCAATGGTGTTGAGCCTGCAATATCACACTCCAAGACAGCTACAGATCCTCTGACTGCCTCTATGGAGAGTAGTTCCTTTCTGAAAGATGGCGGTTCTAAAGGAGAACATATACTTCAGTTAGACGAGTTCTCATTCTGACTGAAAACGTAGTTCTGTTATATAGTTCCCTACACACCTTTCACGGTTACTTTAGTGCTGCAGCTTTCACACCCAGACTCATTGAGAACCTCACATGTGTAGTTTCCACTGTCACTTAACATGACATCCTTTATCTCAAGAGTGGCGACACCATCCTTCAGACTGATATTATATCGGCCACCAGCAGACAGCTCACTGGTATTAAAGAACCAGCTGGTGTGAAGTTCAGGGGATCCTTTGACGGTGCACTGCAGCCGTGCAGTGCTGCCTTTCTTCCAAACTGTGGTGGCCTCGAGCCGCTTTACAAAGACTGGTGGCTCTGGAGAGGTGTGAGGTTAAAAAGAGCCTTTTATGAAGTCAAAGAGGTTATTTAAAAATATCAAGACGCATTGAAAAAGAAGAGATTTAAGACGTGAACACCACAGAATAAAAGTGTGTTAATTTTCAGTACTACAGATTTGCAACAGCTTCAAATTCTGCAGTAGCCATGAAAGTTAACTAGACAGCTCTTACCTTGGACCTTCACTGAAGTGGAGCAAGTTGCACTACCAGCTTCATTTGTCACCGTGCACACATAATTCCCACAATCTTTCAATATGGTTTTTAGGATATCAAGAGTGGCTGTCTTATTCTCAAAAGACAGTTTACAGTCCGGAGACTGGTGCACTTTTCTACCATCTCTGGTCCAGGTGACAGTTACTCCGGTGTCCTCATCCACCTGGCACTCCAGGTGTAGAGAAGCTCCGACCACAGCAGCGATCGGACCCAGGGGCTTCACAAAGTTGGGTTTATCAATCACACGCAGCTCCATGCTGCACTCAGCTGACCCAACATTATTAGACACCTTGCACACATAAAGCCCCGTGTCAGCTGGCTCAAGTTTGGTTATCCCAAGAGTGTGCTTATTCTTTTCACAAGAGGTCTGGTAGTTTGGAGACTCTTTGGGTAAGGCCTGGTTGCCTTTGAGCCAGACTACATTCAGTGGAGCAGATCCTGTTATTACACACTGTATCACTGCTCTCTTTCCAACATACATAGTCTGAGCCTCAGGTTTAGTTATAAAGGATGGAGGGAATTGTTCTATAAGAATTAAGAGAAAAAGAAACACATTAGTGGTAATATGTTATACCCTCTTAACCAAAACTGACCAACTAGACAAAAAAACAAACCAGCAGAACAAGGAAGCTTATAAACAGTTCACAAACAAAACAGAGTCTCAAGCACCAATATTTATCAGAAGAAGACCAGCAAAGAACAGCATAAGATAATACCTTGTAGGAAAAAGACATCAACTACAGTCCCATACAATAACAGCTCCAAACTCAACCAGCAAAGAAAAAGGAAACATGCGCTGCTCTTACCTGTCACGCTGAGAGAGGCAGAGCATTCGTCACTGCCGTGCTGATTGGACGCCTTGCAGGAATATTCGCCACTATCGTCCTTGGTTGGGCTCAGGAGTTCCAGAGAGGAAGTATTAAAGCGACTGATAATCCTGTACTTATCACCCTCTTTGATGGGGTGTCCATCTTTGAACCACTTGAAGCTCACATTCGGAGCATCCTCAGTTTCACAGTCAAACTTGGCAGTGTTGCCAATGTTGATCTCCACAGGGGCAATTCTGTGTCTGAACACAGGTTTCACTGAAGAGAAAGAAAGATAAAAGATGAAGTGAGTAAACAGAAGAAGTGGAAATAAAAGCAAAAAGGAATGTTTTTACTGGAGGTGGTGATCTTGGGATGGAAAAGTGAAAAGTTATGTTGTGACTGTGGAGGAAGAAACATGGTATTAGGTTTGGATTGATGTGACTGTGGAGGAAGAAATGGTATTAAATTTGGGTTGAAGATGTGATGAAAGAGATTCCGTGATAAGAAAAAGAGAGGAAGCATGCAAAGAGGAATGGACCAGAAATGAGGACTGATGGATGTTTAAAGATATGGACTCCTTGGAAGAACAGAGGAATGGATATGGGGTGATGTGCATGTGGAGAAATGAAGGCTTGAAGGACAAGTGAGAATGCCACTACTGTCTGGTGAAAACCTCAAACCCTTAGATTTAGTTTTGCTTTGAAGAGACTTTTTATAATGAATTCCATGGGATTTCAACTCATACATACTCTTCCAATAAGAAGTTTGAGTTATGGTTGAGGTTTGCAGACAACAGTACTGTAAATTCACCACGTGTGGAGTTAGTTGATGATATCAAAGAATTGCCCATCATCAAACCTCTTGAGACCACAGTGAGTCTTGAAGATGTTGTAGTCTTGCCAGCTTCATTCTCAGCCTCACAGACATATTCTCCTTGATGCTTCTTCTTGACAACTTTATCGATAACTAGTGTGTATGTATCGTGGTCTTTAAAACACTTGAACTCCTTGCCAGATTTTACCAATTGGCCATTGAAAAACCAGTTAACTCTGGTGACGTACTTTATGGTGGCTGTAAAAACGGCCTTGCCATTTTCCTCAGTGCAAACATCTCCCAGATAATCAATAATAATGGGATAATCTACCAGACTGTCAGAGGACTCGCTGATTATGATCGCCTCGGAAAGATACTCCTCACAAGTGACCGTCTTCCTGCTTACTTGCGTAGATTCGTGGATCTCAGACTGACTGACTGTTGTGGTTTGGAAGGAAGCCCTGGCTTCAGTGTTGACTGCTGCAGACTGAGATACAGCAGAGGGAAATACAACTGCACTCTCTGCCACCATCAAGGTGTCCACCACAGATGACAGCACTTCTTTCGAGTGAGCTGAGCTGACCAGCGCTTTCTGAGGCTTGTCAATCTGCATGGTACCTGGTTGCTCTGATGTAAGACTTTGCTGCTCCTGGAAAACCATAGCATGCAGAGCTACCTGGAGTTCAGACCTAAGATCAGCTGTCTGAGAGTATTCACCCTCAAAAGACAGTGTGATCTCCATGGGGGCACCTGGGGTTGTGATCAGGTATGTATATGAAGCCTGTTTGGGCTCTCTCTGAACCTTCACCTCCTGTACCTCCACTGCCTCTAACCTTCCTACAACATCGGCTAGTAACACAGGTTGGTCACTGGCCACCACAGACTGAAGGGCGTCTCTGAGTTGACGTCGTATATTCAGAGTTGATGGTTTGGGAATCTGAATGACAAAGTTGAGTTCTTTAGGTAGAGTCTGACTGTCCTGCGACTCATGGACAAACATAACTCCCTTGGACTGCGTCATGATGCTGACAATCGAGCCCTCAGATTTATGTATCTCACTTGACTGCTCTCCTATAATGATCTGCTTTTCGTCTAGCGACACCGACTGTTGGACTGACTGACCCTCCTGGATCTGGACCGCAAAGTCTTGCTCAGCTGCTTCTAAAATAGTACAGCTTTCAGTGGCCATGGCCTTCTCCTCTATAAAAACAGTTTTTTTTGGGATCTTAGGCTCAGTTTTCATCTCAAGCTTAAATTTTTCATCAGTTTGAAGACTAGTAGTGTGACCTTCCTCCAGAGTCTGAGTGTCTGTGACATTCAAAGAATGCATTATATTCCAGTAATCCTCTTTCTGGACTAGTGCTCGCTGCTGCTTCACATCAGTAACGAAAGGTGTCTCCTTTGGGAGCTGCATGGGCTGGGAGGAGACTGTGAGGATGCTTAAAGGCCTTGGCTCAGTTCGAAGCTGTGACTGAATCCCGGTCACCGACACATTAAGATCTGTGTGATAATCTGCTGTGATCTTCCTTTTCTCTTCTGAGGTAGCTGCGTGCCTTCTAGCCTTTTCCTGTTTCTGCATTGCCACCTGTTGGTCAGGTTTGGTGATGGTAAGTATGCCTTCCTTTGGTAAAACCGATAAAGAATGTATTGACTGAAGGTATTTTGTTTGTGGCAACTCTTTCTTCGGCTGAATATACATGGCATCAGTCTTTGCAGAGAACTCTGAAGTTTCCTCACAAACCGCAGTTCTCTGCTCTTCTTGAGTCACCGAATGCAATAAAACTGGACTCTTCCTCACTTCTGCCTGCTCTGCGGAGGGCTTTTTGCTGCTGAATTTACCCTCTGACTGTAAAACGTCCTGATCACTGATAACCTGCAGATTCAGGAATCTTTCTCCCTCTCGTTGAGGCTGCAGACATACAGAAGAAGCTATACCAGGCACCTGTCCTATCTGTTCACCTTGGAGTTTGTATTTCTCTTCAGTAGTCATAGCTGACTTATAGACTATGTCTTTGTGTGGGGTGATACTTTCCTGCTCTGGCCTGTGTATTTCAAATATCTGCTCCTTAGATAAAGCCACTCTAGTTTCGCTCACTGGTGCTATCACTGGCTTAAATTGTTCTTTCTCAATCAAGGGTTTAATGGATGCATCTAAAGCTGGCAAAGGCTCAGAGTGTCTTTCTGTGAGTGGGAGTTGCCCTGTAGACTGAGCTGAGTATAAAATCTTAACCCCCTCGGTGACTCTGAAACTCCTCTCTTCCTCTGGCCTGTGGGTGACGCCTGAGGTTTCATCCTGGAGGGGCAGAGTGGACTCTACTTGATGAACACTAACAAGCTGCCTGGGTTCGGTAAAGGTCTTCACATGCTCTGGAGCCTGGTCCATCAAGGCCTCAGCCTTTACTGTGGCGAGTGGTAGGACCTCTTCGGATGTGGCTGACATAAGCTTTGATGGCTGCTCTTTGGCTAACTTGAGTTCTACAATCTCAGGGCTGAGAATCCGATCTGAGTGCTGCTCAGTGATCTTTTGTCTCTCCTGGACTGAAGATAAGAAAGTTGCCATGTGTAGCTGTTTCATAGGAACAGCTGAGACCTTGAGTGGATGAGTGGGAGCCAAAGAAACCCTCTCCTGCATTTCATGAGACTGCAGCACTGCTGCTTGGTGGGTAAGTTGCTCTCGATGAAGGGTGGCAGCAGAGATATCAAGCTCTCTAAGGGTTCCCACCTCCTCACTGGGAATAATCTGCTGGTCTTCGGTGCTAATGGTATAAATCATCTGATCAGAAAGAGTTCTTTCATGGATTAATCTGGATTCTGTTGTTTGTTCGGTCATAGATATTTTCAAACCTTTGGTTTTCCTAACTAATGTGTGCTCTTCCTGAACTTTCTCCTTGAAAACCAGAAGCTCAGCGGTACAAGAGGCCTCCCCATACTGGTTGGAGGCCTTACAGGTGTACACACCACTGTGCTCTTGTTTGACAGTCTTAATATTAATAAAGCCTGATCCATCTGGGTTGCTCACAATGATACAGAACCCACTAGGCTGAATGTGGAAGCTGCCTTTGAGCCACTGAACCTCAGGGAGAGGATCCCCGGTCACAATATATCTAAAGAAAGCCTGACCTCCCTCACACAACTCAAGAGGCTCTATAGTTTTAGTGAACTCTGGGGGTTTGCCAGTTGGCACAAATGTTCTGTCAGCTTTTTCTTCCCTTTCTGGCTCCTTCAATTGAACATGCAAATAAGAAGTGCAAGTCGACTGGCCAAACCTATTGCTGACAGTACAGGAATACTCTCCCTCAAACTCCCTCCGGACTTTGGTAATGACCAAGCTATACTCATCCTGCTCATAAATGAACGTATACATGGACGAACTCGTTATAGTCTGCCCATTGTGGAACCACTGAACGGTGGGCTTAGGGAAACCCGACACTCTGACAGTAAACATAGCACTTTCTCCAACAGTCACAGCCACTGGAGAAAGTTCACTGAGGAAAACTGGCTTTTCTTTTTTCTTTTCCAAAGAGCTGGAGTAGCGTTTGGACTCTGGCTTAAGTTCAAGTGTTTTGGTTTTATCGGGTAACTTAAGGCCAGTGTAGTATGACTCCTGGGTTTCCGCTTCCACTGTGGTGGTTGAGCTAGAGAAGACTGAGTGGAATAACAACAGTTTGAGACACATTCCAACCACAATACAAGCAGCTGCACTGAAAACATAAGGACATATGCATCTGTTGAGTTATTGACTGCAAGGTAAATCAAACCACAATGTTTTACACGTTTTAGCAAATTTACTACCAACTATTTACACTTTCAGAATTGAAAAAACTAATTCATATATGCTTTTACAATTTCACCTACATGTACTATGACATGCTATGAACAGGTGAGCATGGTTCCATAATTTGTTCAATCAAACCCGCTATTTAGTGTCACAGCATGCAGCTCAACCTTCCAAAAATCGAGTTTTTAAACAAAAAAGGCACACAGGTTTACCTAGGATTGAGAGGCATAAGATTCTGTCATGTGATGACAACTGAGCCAATTACATCCACTAACAAACATTTCTTCATATCTTGGAAGATGGTTTTCAGTAGTGCAAAAAAGTTACATTTGGAAAAACATCCAATAATACCAGTAAAACATAAGAGACATAAAATTCTTTGTTCTGAAACACATGAATTTCTTACCAGAGCAACCTGAAGACAAAGTCAAAACAAGAAAAAACATCTGTAAAAAAAATATCTACAACCTGGACAATAGTTACCTTTAACTTCCTCATGGACCAGAACTGTAGATTCCTTCTCCACTGCAGTTACTGTAAAGACACAAACATTTACAAATTAAAAACACTCTCAAAACTGTACATAAAGCCTCATATGGTGCAAGACTGTTAGAATCATTGACAGGTCGTGCATCCATATTATCCGTTTGTTTTTTCTTTTAACTGACATTCTTGCATGCGTCCTTTTGGTCTTTAGTGTGCAGCACTTCTGGCTTTTTGGGAAAATGCCCAGTGATATGAGTGTCCCTCTCTCTTTGTCTTGTTTGATATTTAAGTCAGTAAAGCAGGACACAAAGATCAGCGACCTCTCCTAAACACAGTGGTTAAAACATGGTTGAAGAAGTGGTGTCACCGTGTGAAGAAGTGTGCCTCTGCTGACTATGTAGGTGGGAAGCAGTGTGGATGAGTGCCCGAGCGAGCAGAAGGACCAGAAGCATGCAGATGCCAACCTTTCATTACTGTGCTGCACTCAGCATCCGTGGCTGAGTTGACATTTTTGCAAGTGTAAGAGCCCCCTTGTCCGGGTCCCACATTGTTAACATTTATACAGCACAGGGGGCCGTCATGTTTCAGAGAGTAAGACACAGAATCCTCAATATTCAACCGGTTGTAAAGCCAAATGACCAACGGAGTGGGAACCCCCTTCATAACGCAATACAAGGAGCCGCTGTCTTTGTTTCTGATCAGCAGCCCAGGGGGGAGTTTGATCAGGAACTCAGGGCAGCTGGAGAGGCGTTGACCACGCCTGTCATGAGGCATGACATCAGGAAAATACAGGTGGCTGATGAGGCTGTTAGGTCTCTGGGAAGATGGAGGAGATGGTCCCGGCTTCTCCACCGCCTCCTGCTTGTCTTGGTCTTGGGGATCTCTAGGGGTCTCCCTGTTTGCCTGAGACACTTTACGCACAGAATCGGTAGGAATGGGGGTTTCTGCTTTGAGATTTGCTTCTTTAGCTGGGTGAGAATAAAGTTAGGGAGAGTAATTAGGGGTCAGAGTGTATAAGGCTATGACTCTAAACACTAAAGGGGTTAGTAGGATGGATGGATGAGGTTAGCGAGGCGAAGCTGGCAACAGCAGGAAGAGAAGCCTACAAAGTTTGTTATTCCATTACATTCTAACAGGTTACAGGCTAAGAGGAAATATTAAATAATGAGAGGGGGGACGAAGCAGGAGGAGCAGGTGGAGGGGTACCAGATGGAGAAACAGACTAATAAAAAAAGAAAGATTAACCACCTTCAACAGTGAGCTGGGCAGAAGAGCTGTTCTGGCCGTGTTGGTTGGTGGCGGTGCAGCGGTACAAACCCTGGTCCGCCACGCCAACACCCTGGATGATCAGAGACAACAGCCCCCCGATCTGAGAGCTCCTCACCCGCTCCGTGTCCGCCAGACTCTGGCCGTTATGATCCCATACCACCCCGATGAAGGGCTGCCCATCAAACAAGCAGCTGAACTCGGCCATCTCACCACTTTTCACCTGGACGTCGCTCATCTCCTTCAGCAGTTTGGGGCTGGCTGAGAATTTTATATCAAAGCTGCTCTCCACCGAGCTCATGCTCTCCATCTGAATCTCAACCGTCCTCCAAGACACAGAGGAACTCTCAGAGACCATCTCAGTAAACTCAACACTGTGGGCGGTTTGTCCCAGAGACAGAGAACTGAAACTCTCTGTCTGAGCCTCCAGTCTCTGACTTATCTTAGTCTCAGCCCCAGTGCTCGACACACTAGCTAAGGCTTTTTCATCTGGGCAATAAGAAAGAGTAGAAGAATTAGGTCAACACATCATTCTGGTGACTTCTTCAGGCTACTTGTGTCACAGCTTGTTTGCCAAGAGTGCAGCTGGAGTGGAGCGTTGAGGATCAGTCACGATCAGTGAGGGAGTGGACAGTGGCTGCTTTCCACCGTCAATCATGCAAACTTGACTGGAGCCAAAATGTAAAATAAAAAAACAGCTATGGATTATATCCATGCTCATTTGAGGAACCCGAAAAGCTAGATTTCCAAAGTTCAGCTCTGTTTTTTTACCATGCTGCATTCCTCTGAGATAAAGATGCTCATGAAGACATCACTACTGTTAAGAGCTCTTCATGTAGAAAGAGAAGACAGTCATGCATCACGAGACAAACCTGTAAGATTATCACCTGTGCTTACAGTGAGCATGTGGGAAACAGAAACAAGCTAATTTAAAGTATATTTGTAATGCATTCTCATAGAAACTATTATCTACAGTTAGTTCAACTGTAACATCAAAATAAGGACTTCTGAAGGCTGAGCCAGCAAACTGTTAAATTTAGTTAATTTAGTAAAATTAGATGCTGGTTTCACAAAGATTTTATTGACATAAAGACTAAATTAAAGCCTAAAAAAACACGTCATAAACCGTGGCATAAAAATAATTGACTTGTTTGCCATCTTAGAGTCTGACGGGAAGATCAATATCCAGTAGAAAGGATTTAACCATGGATTTGAGGGCTACAACATGGTTAGGTTCTATAACAGTTTTCCCTACTTGTGTTTGCTAGGCAAAACAGGTAACGTTAACTTTCTAGTTAGCAAACGCCACCAATGTCTGTGGGTTCTCAACTAGGGAAATATTTAAAATAGTTCTAAACTGCTTGATGCAAAATAGAATTTTACATAAAAGGTGCTGTAAATCACCTAAATAAATCAATATTAGCCTTTTTTATGTATAGCTAATGTTAGCATAACCTTCCCCAATTGTTGATAATGACATGTCTTACTGGCAAAAAGAAGAACCTTACAAAAGGTTTTTGGTGATTATTGTGATTGGTGATTATTATTATATTTATTCCAGTCTTTGTGCTGCATGCTTAGCAGGCCTTCCAAGGTCTGGTAGGGCTGTTTGTGATTATTTTGGCTAAAATCAGTGCTTCCAGCCTTAGCTAAGATAGGCTAAACACTCCTCCTTTAAGGCACTGATATTTGATAAATTTTTTTATCTGACTATAAAGTAGAAGAAAAGTGTTTTACAAAATGCTGTCTAAAATCTAAAATCTTTGTACAACCAGCATCAGTTGATCCAGATCGCTAGCATACTGAACATGCCTGAAACCTTGATACATGCATTTGGCCTTTTTTGGCTCAATACATTTTTAGTGGCCAATAGATGCCTAATTTTATGTTTGACAAGTGAATGAGTGTGAAGCAAGAATTAGACTCCTAAAAGCAGAGCTGTCTGGAAACTTACAGTATGAACAGGGATGCTCTGTTTGAAGACCGCATCGGCATGAGCCCAACATTTCAGATTTTGTTTCTAACTAAAAACAGACATTTGGATGGTTTTCAGATGCATCAGAGTCTTGCTTCAGCAGAAACTAACATGATAGATTCAGATTTTGAGCTCAGAGCATCCCTAGTTAAAAACATGCTACCAAAGAAGGTTAGACTATTAAAGCTCATGCAGTGCATGCTGGTCTGACAGTATTAGGTATCTTAACACCACGTATGTCTGAATTACTCACCATCAATATTCAAAGTTGCGGTGCATGTGGCCATTCCTGCCGAATTTGTGGCAACACATGAATACTCTCCTTCATGGTTGGGGAGAGCTCTGGAAATCTCCAACTGACAGGTATCACCATAATGAGACATGCTGAAGATGTCTGACTGTCTGATCTCTCTGTCATTACAAAACCAAGAAATCTGTAGATCTGGAGACACAGAGTTCATTTGCAGTCAGGAACATCTCAGCCACATCTGCTTAATTATGCACTAATACTACTAATAATAGAACACCTATTACAGAATATTGTAAAAAAAGTATCTAAAGTGAGCAGTGGGCACTACCTTCCCCAGAGACGGTGCACTGGAACTGGGCAGGGTGTCCCTCTGTGACCAGGATGTCCCGTATTGGAGAAATGAGTACCGGAGCAGAGACCCGAGCCGCAGTTTCAACCACTTCAGGAACTAGAAGACAGACATGACGACAAAAAGCAAATTTACTGACAGTATTAGTAATCAATCAAGTTATTCACAGGTTTACATACTAAAAATCATTTGGTTCCAGTTTCTCCAGTGTCAGAATCTCTTTGAAGTTTTAGACTAAATATTTAATTTGAAGACATGACTTTGGGTTCCAGTAATTTATGACAGACATTTGTCTTTGTTTCCAGAGTAACATTTAAGCTTCACCATCCTAATAAAAGCATAGAAGGAAAAAAACTTTTCCGTACCTTCCACAGTGAGTGGGGCAGAGCTTGTCTCCTGTCCGTAGTCATTCTTGGCCTCGCAGCTGTAGGTGCTGGCGTCCTCGGGGAAGACTTCAAGCAACAGCAGCGTGTGCTCGTCTCCATCATGGAGGAACTTGCACTTGTAACCGGCGGACAGAGCCTGGGAGTCTTTGTACCAGAACACCTGGGGCTGAGGGATGCCGCTCACCTGCACCGAGAAGCGAACCGATCTACCCGACGTTGCTGTCTGGGGCTGCATGTGGCGGATGATCTGAGGAGGCTCTGGCACTGGAGACAGACAGCAGAAGAGATGAAGGTAGATTTTTCCGGACAGCAGAATGTATGGCACAGCAAAAAAAGTACCGTAAATAGTGATAACATCTGCTGCATTGTTAATCTGTACATTGCTCTGTGATCCACAGATTATTTCACTTTAAGGGTTGGGTATGGGTTCCTTAAAATGTTCTGAGGAAAATCTTTACTGATGAGCTTCTTGTAACACATAAAGAATACTGAAATAACTATTGAATGAATTGACTACAGTGATATTGATTTTCAAAAAGCTGGCTGATGACCCCTTACGTCTGACATGAAGGTTCATGGTGCTCTTGTTTTTGCCAGCTAGGAAGGTGTACTCTCCTGCGTCACTCCTGTAGGTCTCAGAGATGGTGAGGCGGTGGAGCTTCCTGATGGTGGCGTAGGTGAACCTCTCCTCCACTGAGAACTGGATCTCCACTCCATTTCTCATCCAGCGACCCTCCACATCATCCTCATTCACCTCAAACTCAAAGGTTGCCCTTTGTTTCTCAACAACCTGCAAAAACAGACAAATGGACGGGTTAGTTTTAATTATAAAAATATATACGTTCAAACAGCATTAGTATGTAGATAACTGAATGAACTCACAGTGATGTCTCTGCTAGCAGGCTCTGAGATTTTGACGTCACGTCCCTCGACTCCCAGGTGGCCCTTGGAAACGCTTGACCCAGCCACGGCGGTGTATTCTCCGGCGTCAGACAGGCGGACTGATGGTACAACCAGGTGGTGCACAAACTTATCCGATGTAATTTTATATCTGAAGGAAACATAGCAGGGAACATAGGAAGTTGATGAGGAGATCTTCTTAATTTACTTGTTGTCTTTGTGCTGTTGGTATGATTAGTAGAAGTGTTTGAGCTACTATACCTGTCGGACATCTCCAGCTCCTGACCGTCCTTCATCCATATCACCTGGATGTTGGGTTCAGAAACTTCACATTCAAATGTCGCTCTCTTCTTCTCTGTAATCTTCAGGTCCTTCAGGTGTTTGGTGAATTCAACCACACGGGCTGCAGCACAAGAAACAAACAGGGAAATAAACTTAAACCTGCATGTAGCAGTATGTTTGATCTTAACATTGAACCATTAACCTAGTTTCCAGAAAAAAACATAAATCAATCAATTAAATCAAAAAAGACTGCTTCCATATAGCAAAGGTGCTTTGGGGGATTCAAGTGGTCCTTTAGCAGGTTCTAGGGGTCACTGGTAAGGTTCTAGTGGTCCTTTAGGAGACTGTAGTCGTTATTGAGGAGATACTATGGATCTTTTTGATCGTTATTGTGTTATTTGAGGAGGTTCTAGTGGTCATTGTGGAAGTTCTTGAGATCCTTTATGTTGAGTTTTTTTGTAGTGGTTGTAGTACTCACTTTATGTTGGTTGGATTAGCTGGTGAATATAGTGAAAGATCTAGCAGCTACGGAGTCAGACATTTTCATGAGGATTTGGTGGAGACCAAACCAGAACTAAAAGTTAAAGATTGCAAAAACAGATCTTACCCTCAACATAGAGTTTAGCTGTAGTTACTGCAGAGCCAGCCATGAAGGTGTACTCTGCGCTGTCTCCAAAGTGAACGTTTCTGAGGCTCAGAGTGTGAGTGAGCTGTTTGCAGCGAGCCTGGCATCTGTCCGTGGACCGGATCTCCACACCGTTCTTCAGCCATTTGTATGTGATTTCCTCGTAGTTGACATTCACCTCGAAGGTGACTGTGTCTTTCTCCTGAGCGTTCAGGTTCTGCAGCATTGTTGTGATGAGGATGGCTACAAAACAACCAAACTGATGGTGAGTCCACTGAAACTTCCAAGCAATTCATTACTGATTAGCCAATCAAATCCATTATCGACTAAAGGTTGGTTGATCAACTTTCACTGTGTTTATCGATTCATTTCATCAAAGATAATTGAAAATAAACACTCTCATGGATGCAGCTTTTAATCTTAAATGTAAATCATCCATGTTGCCATCAGTAAGTACCTAAGGGGAATAACTTACGGTTAATGGTTAGAGTTGCAGAGACTTTGTCGTTCCCACAGACGAATGTGTACTCTGCGGAGTCGTCCCTGCTGGTGTTCATGATCTTCAGCTGGTGGAGTTTTCCCTGAACCACAATTCTAAACTTTTCACTCATCTCGATCTCCACACCGTTCTTCAGCCAGGTGGACGACACGTTGAAGTGAGAGACTTCACATTCAAATGTGGCTACCTGTGTCTCAGGGACCGCCACGCTCTTCATGGGCTGTGTCACACGCAGGGCTGAGAGGAAAATACAGCTGGTCATTACAGTGCCATAACTATTGAAACTGCTACTTAAAAAAATACAGTAGAACCTAACTTTATGCTTATGTTAAACATTATTTAACATTGTTAAAGCTATTATGCTCTAAAAGAATAGCTTGTTGCATTAGTTGACATTGTGTCACTGAACTTAAGGTACCATTGCCTTCTCATTCTGAGCAGGAAGGAGTTAAAAATACTGGACAATAATTTTTCTATTTTATGTATTCAAAGCTCTCAATACAGTATAATGTTTTTACAGTCTTTAGGTAACGTTGACCAGTTTAGCCTTGTATTTATTAAGATATTTTAGTTGATTATGTGAAAACCCAGTTTTTAGCTTTGGTCTGTGTTAGTTGACAAACAGCATTGCTTTAACGATATAATGTCCAATGCAGAAAAATATCATGCTTGGTCTCCCCTGATTCTGAACCCTGAAGTTACTGGCTGTTGATACTTGTAAATTCTAGGCTCAACAAACTTAACATTCCTAAATTTAACTCTTGTTGGTCATTATACGCTTTTCATTTTTAAAGGCTGCTAACGTGCCATGCTCTGCTAACACTTACACTCGACGCGGAGGCAAGCACTGCACTGGAGGTGGCCCACCACAGCGGTGTACTCTCCCTCTTTGCTGTTGTCCACATCTTGGACAATCAGTTTGTGGGTCTTCTTCTCAGAGAGCATATTGTAGTGCTCATTGGGCTTCAGCTCTACTTTGTTAAACATCCATTTCACGGGGATGTCGTCCTCAGAGATGCCCATCTCAAATACGGCAGTTGCACCCAGCAGTGATGTCACATCCTTTGGCTTCTTCAGGATCTTGATGGCTGTGGGGAACATATTTTACAGAATAAATGTTTTGGAACTGCACTAGAAATTGTTATATTTGTTTTTGAAAAAGTGGTTGCTTACTTTGAACGTTCAGCCTGGCATTTGCAGACAGTTTTCCCAGTTTGAAAGAGTAAACAGACTCATCCTGTGTGGTACAGTTCTTTATCTTCAGGGTGTGGACTGTGCCTTCAATTGTGATCTCAAATTTATCACTGGGCTGAATCTCAATGCCGTTCTTGATCCATTGAGCTCCCCTCACGTCTTCGTGGGTCAGCTCCAGGCTAAATACTGCCTCCTGAGTCTGGACCACGTTCAGGTTTTTAAGGGTCTTCTTGACCTTCACAGCTGCGGAGACAAACATTGTGGTTAATCAAGGGTTGTTGTGGACAGATATTTGCCAGTTAAGCAAATTTGAAAAAGGTGAATCTTAATTTGCATAATAATTTTGAAGAAATACCCAATACATTTTACAATCCATCACAACCCATCTTTGTGCATCCAATGTGTTTAATTTCTAGTTTAGGAAAGGAAGGAAGGAACATTTAGTCCTTCTCCAAAGCCCTTGAAATATGCATTCCCGGTTCTAGCAATCTAGTCAACAATCCATCCAAGAGTAAGTGAGGGTTTTGTTCTCAAAGTCAGATTTACCTTTCTATTCCAGACAGAAACTAACAAACAGAGATTCAACTGACTTTGTTCTTCTGTATAGTCAGTTGGATAAAAAAGGTAAGATTTACTGTAGATCTGGGACCTACCCTCGACTTTCAGGTTGGCTGAGGTCTTGGAGGTGGCGACCTGATAGGTGTACTCTCCGATGTCGGTGGCTTTAGTGATGATGATGACGAGGCATCTGACGGCACCTTTCACTTCGCTCAGAGTGTTCTCGTTGAAGTCGACAGGCTGGCCGTCTTTCAGCCACTTGCCCTCAGCTGAGGGGTTGGCTACTTCACACTCTAGCACGGCGGTCTGGGAGTCAGCCACCACCAAATCACGCAGGGGCTTCTTGATAGCGCCACCTGGGAACAGTAAACAGCTCTACTCAGTCAGCACTTAGTCCAGTCAGCACTACAATGTGTTAACTTGCGATAAAAAACATATCTTACCTGATACAGTGAGTGTACCAGTACACATTTTCTCACCAGCAGCAAACATGTACTCGCCCTCTTCATCCTTCATTGCATTCATGACAGTCAGGGTGTGGCGCTTGTTCTTGGACTCCATCTTGTACTTGGCGCCGGCTTTGAGTGGCTGCCTCTTGAAAGTCCAGAAGGCATCGATGCCTGGATGAGAAACCTCGACTTCAAATGTGACGTTTTCAGACTCTGAGCACTCCTTGTTCTTCATCGGTTTTACAATCTGGACAGCTGTTGAGATGGAACAAGAGTTAGGCCATATAACTATGTCCGGAGTCACACTAAACCCAAATATCTTTAATTTACACGTAGAATCTATTCATTCGCCATCCTTGTTTGAAGTAGGGCTTAATGTTATCTAGTCATTTTAAATGTATTACTACCTGGGAATATATCACTCTTCCCAATCAAAAAATTCCTTATTCCTTATTTTCCCAAGAAACATGTACAGATTTTCTAACTGAAAACCAAAATACAATTTGTGTACAAATCATACAAAACCAAGTATTGAAGCAACAGTCCTGTTGACAACTGTCATCCCAAGTCAACAGATGCTTAAACCTCACTCAGTTTTTAACCTACTCTGAACAGAGAATTTGCAGCTGGTGTCGGCTCGGCCAACCACAAGTTTGTAGTGTCCTTCATCTGAGGCATAGGTCCTGTTGAAGACCAGGCGCTGCTTGGCTCCCTTTGCCACCATTTGGATTCGGTCACTGGGTGTCAGCAGTTTGTCGTTGTGGTACCATTTCACTGAGCTGACGTCCTGAGCGGAGATCTTGGTCTCCAAGACAGCCTTGGTGCCCTCAACGGCACTGGTGTCTTTCAGTGGAATTAAGACACCGATTGCTGCAACACAAGATAAAATATTTTGCTTGTAACCTTTTATTTTAGAATATTAGATTTTTTTTGAAAAACTACATGCATGAAAGGTGTCTTACTCTGAATGACCAGCTTTGCAGATGTTGAAATTGCCTGATCAGGAACCACAAAGGAGTACATTCCAAAGTCATCCTTGCTGGTGTCTTCAATCAGAAGTTTGTGGATCTGTTTGTCAATAACAATGTGCACACGGTTGGAGGCTGTGACTGGTTGTCCATTCTTCATCCAGGTTCCTTCAACGTTCTCCTGGGAGAACTTGACCTCCAGCTGAGCAATGTCACCCTCGCAGATGGTCAGGTCTGTCAGAGGCTGAATCAAGGTCACCGGACGCACTGAAACATCAACACAAACATGTAAGGTACTAGATACAACCAGAATAAAAGCCAAAATAGTGCTTTCTAAACTCTGCAGTATTCCTTACACCCCCAATACATGAAATTGGTGGATGGGACAAACAATGAAGCTTTGATTATTTTTTACAGCTTTTAGATTATGAGGTGGTACTACAATAAAGCACCAATGGCCTGATTCTATGGGAAAGTTCAGAAGGTCACAAACCTATTAGAAGTTACATACTGGAGATCATTAACTCCAATACCAAATTTCAGAGGGATCTCAACAGAAATTGTCAAAATGTCTCTGAACAAATTTTTGGATGCACTGACAGCTTTGGACCAAGTTAGAAGCTCTGAATTAATTACAAAAGTACAAAACTTAAAGTCCCATAACTTACATTTCATCTTCAGTGAGGCACTTGTCTTGAACTCGGCCACTTTGAAGGTGTATTTTCCTTGATCCTCCTTCTTGACATCTTTGACGGATAGGGCGTGTCTTCCACGGCGGGAGGTCATGACATATTTATTGCTGGGAGAGAGCAGCTTTTCTCCAAAGAACCAGCTGCCTTCAGCATCCTCACGAGACACGACACACTCAAACTCTCCAGAGTATGTCTCAGGAACCTCTGTGCTCTCCAGCTGCTTCAGGATCTCCAGTGGGGCTCCTGTTTATAACACAATACAGATGGTATGTTAATGACTACAGTTTTGGTGAAAAGTCAAAAATACACTTGGATACAGCAGTGACAGAAAAGTAGCCAGTTGTTAGCCAACCAACCTTCAACATTGAGTTTGGCAGTTGTGCTGACGTTATCATCTACAACCATGCAGGTGAATTCAGCATCATCCCTCATGTCGATTATCAGCACAGACAGGAAGTGAACCTTTCTGTCAGAGTGCATCCTGTATTTGTCACCGGAGAAGATCTCCACATTATTCTTCAGCCATTTGACCTTGACAAAAGGCTCATTGGTTTCACACTCAAAGGTAGCCATGGTGTCCTTCTCCTTTGCGTCAACATCCTCCAGTTTCTGTGTGAAGCTGATGACTTGTTTTGCTGCAAAAATTAAACAAAACCTTTGTTAAAAACATTTAAAAAAGAGAATGACCATATATAATGGTAGAAAGTCCAGAGCCATGTTACCTTGCACCAGCAGGAAAGCGTGGCTTGAAGTCTCTCCAGCAGTGTTTGAAGCTTTAACCATGACACTAGCAGAATCCTCTGCTGTGACATTTCTGATCAGCAGTTCACACACATGATCCTCAGGCCAGTACCAGTTAATACGGTCAGACTTCTCCAGCTGAACACCGTTCTTGAACCACTGGCACACAGGTTCTGGTCTGCCAACGACTCTGACTCTGAACTTGACTTCATCTCCCTGTGCGACTGTCTGGCTGGTAATACGCTCCAGGATCTTAGGAGCTTCCATGCTGGCAGAGAGCTTGACCCTTTCAGGTTTTAGAGGTTTAGCTGTAACCTTTAGGCGCTCCTCCTCCGCCTTCTTCTTCGCAGCCTCCTCCTTCTTGGCGCGGTGAAGCAGCTCCTCTTTTGTTTTCTTCAGCAGACCCTCATAGGACTCATCCCTCTTACGTGACTTGAGTTCCACCGCAGTGATGGACTCATAATAGCCTTCTTCTGTCCTGCGCTTGAACTTGCCCCTCAGCTCCTCTGACTCCTCTGTGGCTTTCTCATGGACGATTCTCTGGGCCTTCTTAAGCTTGACCACTTCTTTTAGTTGAGCGTCTTCTGCAGGTTTCTCAGCCTTCACCACCTCAAACGGTGTTTTTCCAGGTTCAGGGGCAGCCTCAGCTCCCTTTGCCTCTGGGGCACGGCGCAGATGAGTTCTGAAGTCCTCCTTCTGCTGAATCTCCAGCTTCACGATGTGCTCAGCTGAACCCAGGTTGTTGTCGGCTACCACTTTGACCTCTCCTGAATCATAGGATTTGATTCCAGTGATCTCCAGATAGTAAATACCATCATACCGAAGTTTGTATCTCTTGCTTTTGCGGATAAGTTGTCCGTTGAGGTACCAGTTAACCTTTGGTGATGGATAACCGGTCACTCTACAGCGGAATCGTGCTGTGTCACCTTCCAGCACTCTGGCTGGTTCAGGAAGAAGGACAATCTCAGGTTTCATTTTCTCAGCTTCTTCTTCAGCTGTGACTCCATAAGGTCCTCCCTCATGAGCCAGGCGTTCAATCTCATCAATTCGGTGTGCCCCCTTTCTGCCTTCAGGAAGCTGGCTTTCCTCAACAAGGCCCTTCTCATCCTTCACGACGAGGGTAGCTGAGGTCTGGTCAGCTCCAAACTTGTTTGTGGCTCTGCAGGTGATAACACCGCTGTCTCTGGCATAAGCAACTTCATAGTCAAGACTGCAGTAGCCAAATTCATTGACCATGCGTAACCTGTTAGCAGCTTCCAGGGGTTTGCCATCATGAAGCCACTCCACTACCATTGTGGGGTCACCAATGGGGGTTAGTCTGCACTCAAAATGAGCTGGACCAAAACGCTTCATGCGGACAGAGGTCAGCTTCTTCTTGAACTGTGGTTTCTGCTGCTTCTCCTTGTCGTAAAGGTCACCCTCCTCCCACTGCTCTTGTCCATATCGCATATGAAGGGGCTCCAACTCTGGAGGGGCAATCTCTTTGGCTTTGTAGGTTCCTTTTGGAATAATTAGCTTCCTCTCTGGTTCTGGTTCAGCATAGTCCACCTCAACGTTGACTCTGCAGCGAGTAGTGTCTCTGCCAGCCTTGTTGATGGCTGTAGCGGTGTACCAGGCGCTGTCTGAGCCAGCTGCTGAGGAAATCTGGAATTTGGCGTCTCCTCTGGTTCCTTCAACCCTGGAACATGGTAAATGGTAAATAGTAAATGGACCTGTACTTGTATAGCGCCTTTCTAGTCTTCCGCACCACTCAAAGCCGCTTTTCACCACTACCGTGCCACATTCCACCCTTTCACACACATTCACACAGCGATGGCCAAAGTTCCATCGAACAGAAACTAACTCAGTCATACACATTCACACACTGAATGCTCAAGGATACTTCGACACGTGGCAGGAGGAGCCGGGGATCGAACCAACCATTGGGGGACGACCCGCTCTGCCTCTGAGCCACAGCCGCATACATGGATTTGTCATATTAGAATATTTTAAACATGGTTTGGCTAGTGTTTTGCTTCCAGCTTACAAGGTCACACAAGCTGACTGGATTCTACCTACCCAGTAGTAAATGGTAAAGAGTCCAACCAAAGTGACAAATGAGGGATATGACATCTAACAAACAAGTATTGGATGAATTGTTATATTTTCAGATAGGTTGCGTGTTACTCCTACTAGCGTGTTTTTTGTGATTGTGTAGCTGAAGCTAGCTCACATATTTTGCCATCATTATGAAGATCAGTTGTGGGTTTACTGTCAACTTAGTTTGAGAGCCAATTTGGAAATATTGATAATATGGCTAATAACATACCTGATGTTTGGGTGCTTGTGTGGGGTGATAATGTCACTGTTTTTCAGCCAGACAATATCAGGCAGGGGATTTCCAATGGCTTTGACAGCCAGTTCAACCAGAGTGCCCTGCTTTACACTGATGTTCCTTAGCTTCTCAGTGAACTGGGGACGCACCAAGGTTTCTTTAGCTGAAAAAGAAAAGTAAATAAATCATCATGAAAGCTTAAAGTCAAGTATTGTCTTCATAAACGCTCAGTGTTCACATAATGTTCAAGGTGAGCTGAAATCTTACCATCAACAGTGAGAGTGACTGAGAGGGATGATCGTCCAGCTCTGTTCTGAGCAACAACTGTCCACTCTCCAGAGTCCTGTGGCATGGCGGGGACAATGATCAGGGACTGCGTACCGTCCTCTTTAACCACTATCTTGTGGGTGTAATCGCTAACCACTTGTTGTCCTGAGGAGGCAACATACAGGTTATTGATTATTCAATCCAAGTCCAAAAATCGTATTCAGGAACACCTTCATGAATGTTTATCTGTTTTAACTCACCGTTATGGAACCAGTATGTGTCGGGCATTGGTCTGCCAACAACCTTCAGGTCGAACCTGGCAGTCTGCCCCTCAGAGCATTTACATGAGGAAGGCTTCATGACAAACACAGGCTTGTAAAGTCTTTCCAGCTGAGCCTCATCTGTCTCATCAAGCCGACGAGCAGGAGAGCGTCCAGGTGAACGGCTGGAAGAGCGTCCAGGAGAGCGACTCAGAGAACGAGGAGATGTGGACCTGAGGAAGATGCAGAGTTGTCAGCATCCAGGTGTCCAAAGTTCTGTAAAAATATATCTTCGTCCTTTTATCAAGACATTACCTGATCCTTTGCATTGCTGGCTGTGGTGTGTATCTCTGAGCTCCGGAGGGCTCCACATAGAGTTTCCCGGAGCTGACGGTATTTCCTTTCATGTTGGTAGCAAATGCAGTGTAAACGCCCTCATCCTCTGGCAGAACCACAGGCAAACGCAGACTGGCTCTTCCATCCTGAAGAACTTCCATCTGGTAGCGGTCACTGGGCCTGATTCTCTGGCCATCTTTGAACCAAGCAATCTGGTAGAATACAAAATGTTATTGTAGGAGCATGTTGGATACAAATATGCAATTCCAAACTCTATTTTTAATTTGAGTTCAACAGAGACAATTTATTTAACAGAAACCTATTTCTTCAATACAGTACCTTGGGAAGCGGCATTCCAGCCATCTTGCAGTGGAAAGTGACTCCCATTCCATCCATGATCCTGTAGTTTTTGACGGGAGTCTCAAAAGAGGGCTGCACTGCCTCAGTGGGGGCAGCGGTGACCATCAACTCTCCATCTTCTGTCACTATCTCTTTGTAGGTAATCTTCATAATGCGGAGTTCAAGCTCCTGGATGATCCTCTGCTCAGTGACAGAAAGATGGAATTCCTGCAGATAAGATGAGAAGTTAGAAATATGATAATTGAATTGTTTTATCACTGTTGGTTGATTATTATTGATAAAGCCTTAGTTTGCAAAAGCCCAATAAGTGTTAGCTTTAGGGTTAGGAATGGAAGAAGTTGGGGTATTTCGGACTAACAACTCAACCCCGATCTTGCAGCACGTTTTGAAAGGGTTTTGATTATTGCTATGACTTTCACTTTGTCCATTTCCCTCATTTGATTCTGCATAGCAGTTTAGATAGCAGATATAGGAGTGCCAACTAGACCAAGCAACTAACTTAACAGACCAAATATCTTCATTACTTAAGCTCATCATTTCTGTATAAATCTGATAAATGTGTTTGCTTGAAGGTAACAGGAGTCATATACAATGTAATGTTCAGAGAGGTAGTGGTGGTGGTAGGGGCAGTCACGTTCGCCCCGAGGCCCCCTAGTGGGTTAATCTGGCCATATGGGTATGTAAGTTTCAGGTTCCCTCAACACAACAACAACTAAAAGACAACCTCCAATCAGGACTGATAATGATGCTCCTACCTGTCCAGAAATGATGGTGGTGGTCATCTGCTCCATTGTCGTAACAACAATGGGGGAAACGTCTCCCACTTTGGGCTCTTGCACCACAGCTGTCACTTCAGTCTTAAAGGTTGCTTCCTGTTTCTTCATGTAGGTTTCATATTCCTCTGTTAGCAAAACAAAGCATTTAATGTTAGATGAATTCAGGCACCTAATTTCATTGACAAAAGAGAAGAAACAGCTTTTTACAACTCTTGTTTTGACAGAATTTGTCATCCAGTCTGATTTCTTTTTACTTAATGTTATTTAAGCAGATGTTCGTACCTTCCTCCAGCAGACTGGCAGAGGCTGAGACCTCTCCAAGCTGGTTTTTGGCAAAGACAGAGTATTCTCCGGCATCATCAGCGAAGGTCATGGAGATCTCCAATTTGCATTCTCCAGTGTCCTTCTTATAGGCGACTTTGTATCTGATGGATGGAAGGGTAAAAACATGTTAAAGGCAATTCAGCACGAAGTAGTGCCCCAGAGAGGCTGTATTGTACAGACACAATCAGAACCAAAATTGATGATTTGTCTATTCTTACAGTCTTGCCTAACGTAACACTTGTCCTGAAGAGAAAGGGGAATGGGCTTTTTAAGACTGAGCTCAGGATGTCATGGTCATCAAAATCAAAAATCAGAGGCACATTTAGATCACAGGTCAGATCTGATGGAACACATGCAGCGAAGGTAATCAACTGATCATCACCCGCTCAAAATTTGCTCAGTTCAGCCCAGCTCTAGTTTCCAAGCAAACTCAAGAAATGTGAGGGAGAGGAAGGGAAAAAATATGACAGTGTAAGTTGAGAATTTTAGAATTCTTAAAAGAACTTTGTTGAAATTAAATATGAATTCTGTATCAGATTGTTTTATATAAAGTCTACACTTATGTTTTCAAGGTTGCACATTATAGATCCCCACAAATTAAGTTTGTAATGACTGACTCAGTCACAGATCCAGGGAACATGACAAGGTGACCAGTAAGTTTTAAGATACCTGTATCCGGTAGTGAGTGGTACTCCACCCTTCTTCCAGATGATGTGTGGTTTGGGGCTTCCTCCAATCTGGCATTCAAACACTACACTTCCTCCTTCCACCAGCTTCTGGATGGTTGGGTTCTTGATGAAGAAGGGAGCTGTGGCCGCAGCATCTGACTCGGTCACGCTCACCTGAGACATGGTCTCCTCTTTGGCTTCAACGGTTACTCTGGAAATACAAATATATTTTTAGGATTACCAGGGCCAAGCTGTACAGCAACCTTCCCTTAACTCTCAACAATCTGAAAACAAAGAACCTGACTATAGCAGTGTTTTGATCAGGTAGACCGTTTATCAACATGCATTATATTGATGTATCTTTAAAGGAGGTTGATTGACTCACAGTTTCTCAGCAGTCTCAACATGTTCAGTGACGACAGCGACCTCCTCTCTGCTCTCGATGTCCTCAGACACTGCAGGAGAAAGACAGGGTTAGTCACAAGTAGGAGATACCATGTTGGACTTACTATTGATATTCCTGCGTTGTGATAATGGAAAGATTAACAGATTTAGAAGTAGTAACAAAGGGGGGCAAGGTTAAGCGAGGGGCAAAATTAAACTTGAAAAAGACAAAGCCACAACATTGAACCCTGAGGATCTCAAGCAGTAATTTTATATTCAGTATGTTGCTGAAAATGTCCTATATGAGGGATATAAAGCAAACAAATTGATGTCTTGTTTCTTGATGATTTCTGTCCTGCTTTACTGTTCATACTGACCCTGGACGAGCAGGTAGCAGGAGGTGCTGACGGTTCCCGCCTCGTTAGTGGCAGTGCAGGTGAAGCGTCCGCTGTCTTCAGCGAAGGCCTCGCGGATCACCAGCTGGGCGAATCCGTTCTCGTAGTTAATCTGGAAATCAATGGAGCTCTCAATCTTATAGTCCTCTCTGAACCACATGATGACGGGTGTGGGGTGACCACTGATCTGGCACTCCAGGGTCACCGACTCGCCCTCCGTCACATTTGTGTTCTTCAAGCCCTGCAAACAAGACACAAGACTTTCAGAAAATGTCACTTTCACAAAGAAGCATGAATATATTTTGTGGATTTGATGAGAACTACTCCACTTACAGACACCAGTGTGGGTGGGACCACGGCACTGCCTGCAGAAGGTATGGCTGCTCCCTCCACCACCTGTCGTACATTCAGAGATTTGTTAGAAAACTGTAGTTTAACAAAACATGCAACTAAAAATCCACCAAAATGACTCAAAATAACAGGACAAGACTTTGAACTGTTTACATCAAACATATGAAGACGACACAGCACATAAAGATGGAGGAAAGCAGGATGGGCTGAAGAGGTGAGAATGAGGTTATCAGTAGCATCGATGAACATGTTAAAGGTTTATGAGAATGATCCTGGATTTTCACAGACATCAAGAAAACCGGACTTCTAAAAATTTGAGGTCAAGGAGTGACCCGTAATGGTTGCAATATTCATTACGTCCACAATATGAAAACATGCATATTTATTATTTAGCTATTCTGTCAGCCAAATGAGTAGTGGGGATGTGATACTATATTCAGTCCCTCCAGGATGGGATTGTTGCTGGATTTCATGGTAACTTTTCAAATAAATTGCAATAAATGTTGCCGTTTTTTTTTTAATTTTAAGGGTCATTAAAAAGAAAAAGTTTCAAGCTCTGGGGAATAGGAAAAATCTGCTCCTTAGATTTGATTTGTTGGTTGCAGAAGTGGATATCTTTGCCAGCTGATGGCACTAAAATAAAGATCAGCAAATGTCTTTCTTGGATGGACAAAACAACAGATTCTTTATTGCTGGTTTGGAAGATAAAAAACTATCCATCATCAGGTTTTCTTGTCCTGTTTAAGATCCAGCCCATTAAACTAGATTACAAACCTGGGCTCCCCAGTCCTCATACATTCTCTCTATGCCCCCCGAGTACACCACCCCCGTCTGTAACTCAGCGCCAAAATGACTCTGATATTTGTCTTTGAACGGTGAAGGGATGGGCTCCAGTGTCTCTCTGGGCGCTGCCACTCTACCAGACGGACTGGGAGACTTGACGGGTTTGATGATCTTTCTAGCGGTGGCAGAGGATGAGGATAACTCTTTCTGCAGAGTGGCGATAGCCGAGCCAGCGATGGAAACCTGACCGACCCAAAGAGGAGGAACACCGACACCATCATCAACAAATATGTTTTTGAAAAGTTTGTGTTAAAGCACAGCAGAGGGAGGGATCTACAGTGCGTTAGTTTTATTAAAACTACGAGAGGATAAAATTAATTTTACATCAGTTGGTTCTATTTATTAAGGAAAACATGGTTAAAGTTGGATTCATTTTGTTATTTTATAGACATTATTTTATCACTTCTACACTTATTCAAAGCAAGTTTGCATTTCAGGCGAGCAGTAAAAACCAAATGACTGTTCGCTGAACCCCGCCCCTCAAACTGAGTCTGTCCAATCATGGCTTAGAAACTGTAGTCACAGCAGGTGTGTCTGTTCAGACTGTGAACATGGAGCTGTAGTAAGACTGATTTAACATTAGCTTCCCCAGCTAACTAGCTTACAGCCTACAGTAGTAAATAGCATTATTTTAAGACCAACAATTAGCGTATCATTTCTAACTGCATTATTTTGTGGGGTTACAGGTTACGCTAGAAAAACGCCCCACTCAGGAGTAAAACATCCACCATGGCCTCTTTTCCCATCAAAATTACTCTGGTTCTGTTCAAGATTCTTAGAACCTCGGTGCTATCTACAGAACCAACCCGCATTTCCATTGTAATTGGATGTATCATCAACAGAGGACGCTGCACAGTGTAATTACTGACTTAAGTTTCTATTATTTCAGCATTTAATTTGAGTTATTGATCTCTATGTGTTTTAGAGTTCCACTCTTTGTCCACAGGTTATTTTCTACTGCTTGCCTGATGTTGCCTGTCTTACCTCAGAGCTAGACTCGTGTTTTGGGACAGAAACTTTAGAAACTGTGAAATGTGGAACTGGAGACGGGGCGAGACCAGTGTCCACATGGGAGGAGATTTCTGTCACTCTATGAATCTGGAGTAACCAACAGAGTTCACAAGAGTGTTACAACCTCAGGAAGATTTTAAAAACTGGACAGTTTATATGTAAATGTTTAAAGATATTATTCCTGTCACAATGCAAATAATGACATGGTTATCAAGAGCTTTATCTTTTCACAGTCATGACTTTGCTGTGGAGGCCTAGCTAACCTGAGTCAGCGGCAGTGTTGGTTCAGGTGTAAACTGCTGAGCAGTGGTAAGCATTTGTCCAGCCTGCACTCTTGTTGTTGTCCAACCAGCTTGATACTGTTGATCGGCAGCCAAGCCGGCAGTGGCGGCGGCCTGCTGCCTTAACTCTGCTTCTATGGCCTCTGCCTCCTCTTCTTCAGCTTGACCGCCCTCCACATGCACAGGCTGACGGACCCGAGCGAGGTCAACGGCGGCCACGACTTTGGCTACCGCCCCGGCTCTTTTCCCTCCCTCAGCCTGGAGACACAACCAGCAGCACATAGATATCAGGACATCCATGGCAGGACAGTGGTACAGAGACAGGCAGGTGGGCCGGCGAGAGTGTTTTTGGCAATTAGTTCCCTCAAATTAATAAAGTTTCAACTTGTCCCCCCTCTGACTGACTGTTTGGATTTAAAGTCTGATTTGACTACTTTATGTCCATGTCTTCTTTATTGATCACCGGCTGGTGACAACCTCACACATAATATCATATAGCTATCAGCTATGTATTCAAGACCCTTTTACAAGGTTTATTTTTGTCAAACAAGTTAGCTGGAAACATTAATAGTTCAACTAGAGGTGGACTTTCAACCAGCTCACAAGGTAGTGCTAGCTAACGCCTTACCAAACTATTAGCTACCTTCATGGCATGTTCACAAAGTGATTTTTTTAAATTTTATTTCATTATTGTTGGTTTTACTTTACAATGAACTAAATTAGCCTAGCCCTGATCAACCAAACTCTATTCAGAAGACAAGCATTTTAAAAGTTGTCTCTGCCTTTTTGCACTACCATAAGTATTGTATATTTTATATTATTGTATATTTTATATTTTATTGTCTGTTGTGAAATTGAATGTTTAAATTTTAGTATTAGGAAATGTCTGTTCTTATC